AAAACAAATGTTAAAAAAAATAAATATTTAATAAATAAATAAAAAACGTATTTAATGTAAAAATTAGAAAAAAAGTTTTTAACAAAATAGTATTTGGAGAATTAAAAAACAAAAAACAAACATAGATAAGTAGTCCTTTTCAGAATTATTGTTTAAAAATCAAATTATACTGTTATTCACACAATAGAGAGAGTACTGTAATACAGTTAATTGCAATAAAAATCGACGGATAGGAAAAAAATGGACACCGCAACTGGAATTCGATCCTGCTGCATGAGTTCAGAACGAAACAATTTACCATTGAGCCAAACAAGCACTTTTGTACTAATTATTACATAAATATTATTGGTCAAATTTCGAAACTTTGAAAGTCGCACATACTTCGATAATTACAAAAAGTTGATACATGCATGTCTATCTATCCGACGGATTAAAATACGAATTTCTGAATACACATAATATGTTTGAATTCATACAGTTGGAGTCCACCACTATGGGCAACCCCATAACTTCTAAACGGTCCCGATATCGGCTTACATTTTCGCTGAACTATGCGAAATCATGCGGGCAAGTAATATAGTGTAGAGATATTGTTTGAATGATTTTTAGTTTGACACATTTAATCACCTTTGATTATTAATAGGAAACATGTTTTTTTCTCACTCTGCAATAGATAGATCTTAAAAAGAGAATGCAACGATTAACATGCTAATATTTTTATATTGTTTTTTGTGCATAAAATATACTTTTATTGAACTGAGATTTTAAATTAAACGTGCAATGTTCTGTAGCTGCGTCGCCCACTGTCGCTTTTGGGCGAATGTGACCTCGCGGCCCTCTCCCACTCCCCGTAAAAATGCCCGCCACCCGAAGGCACCGGCCCCAAAAGGAGACAGTGAATAGGGTTGTATTATTACAGTTGAAATCTTATATGATTTAATTTAAAATCACATGGCGGAAAGTATAATTCTCTAAAATACTATCAAAAAGCATTAACATGTGTTACATCATTGCATTCGTCTATTTATGATTTATCTATTGCTAGTGAGATAAAACTTGTTCCATTTAAAAATTAAAGATGGATTAATTTCTCGGAAACTAACAATATTTTGCAAGAATATCCTAAGCATACACTTTGCCTCATGAGTTTCACATTGTTGTGCGAAAACTTACATTATCAATACGTGAAACCGTATGGCCCGTAGTTGGTGAGACTCCCGTGAACACACAACTGTTGAACAATTAACAATAAAAAGAATCAATGTAGTTATGCACTCCCGCGGCCAAAAAAAATAAGTTTGTTTTAGTTTAAATTTTAATATCTTTTGCCCCACAACCAATTGAACTTATCTTAATGAACAAATTGGAAATGGGATTCGAGTTGCTACATTCTTTCTTGATGCTATGCCTCTCCTGATGTATCTTTTCTTGTCTCTCTGTGATGGTGATTTTTTTTATTTTACGAGCGCATTTCATGGTCAGTTTTGGCGCTCAACGAGATAAAATCATTAAATTTTTGTTAAATAAAAAATGCTAAAAAATAATATTAATGTTCATTTCTTCTTGATTTACCTATGCTCGCGAAACGCGGGCGGTATTGGGACCTTTCACATTGGCCTGAACAGTCTGTCAACCCAGAATCTGTGTACCCAGGTATTATTAGGACATATATACTTATCACATAGTGCTTTTTTCAAATTTCATGTTGGAGGTGTGACTGCATTCAATAGTTCAGAAGCGAATTGCAGGAAAATCTAAACACGTCGCGCGCCTTCTTAACACTGGCCCCGCGGCAAAAAAAAATTAGCCATTTTTGTTCAAATCTTAATATGCACCAATATTTTACATGATTCCCTCAAATGTTTTTGATTTTTAATTATTATTATATTATTATTATATTATTATATATTATATTATTATAAATTATTTTTCATTTATCTAAGAACAGTTGGCTGTGCATTATTACAAGAATTTAAAGCATTAGAAAAATACTGAACCTATCTCATGTGCTTGACGATGTTATCTATGATACCTGCCTCCGTATTGTGCTGAAACATATTCAATTGTTTCCTTTCACGAACTAGTACGAATGATGAACGGATGCAGACAATGCCCGAGCGTTATCTCGAAAAGCATCAAATGTCAATTCTACTGAAATAATGCAAATTGTTCTAATAGCGAGAATGGCGAATTGGGCGTCTAGTTTCAAAACGCAACTTTTTCACCAAAGGTGAAAAATTAGATAACTGCTTTCAATAGGCTCGGTTGTAAATTACGCGCGTTTTAAAAATGATTTTTAAGAAAAACGCGTTTTTGTTCACTCCAGAGGGCTCCTGAAGATTATGGAAAGATAGCGTTATGAATAAATATTGTTCATATTCAGAACCGCATCTTTCCATAATATTATTTCGTGCATAAGTACGATCTTTCCAATCCAGAACAGTATCATCTGTAGGAAATCCAAACGGCCTAAGCATTGATTAAGCTGATACTGAAATGATTGTGTTGTGAACGTCAGCATGTACGGTCTGCTGATTCATATTTGATAAAAAAATTCACATGATATATTGAAATCGAAATGAAATAATAAACACTATTGTAAAAACTTATTGAAAACAAGTTTTTTTTACCAAAAATACGTTTTCACAAAAAATACAAAATACTTAAATTAAATTTCAAAATTAGACTTTTTAAAATTTTAGCCAACTTTCTTCGTAATGACTAGACATTTCGAATTATCTATTCTACTGTTTCGACTTCACTACCCAGGAATTAATCCCAAACATTTAGCATCAGAATGTTTAAACAAATGATATGACTTTTTTGTTTTCTCAAAACAGACTACAATGGAAAAGTCCCATTTTCAAACTAGACCCCTGAATTAATTGTTATCGCCAACATTTAATTTTTACATATTTGAGTGTTCCACGTGATTGGGGACTTTTTGGCTTAGTTTTCAAATAAAATATTATGTAATGTTTTGGTTTTTGGTTCTGCTCATGCTGGCTGAAATCGTTTAGAAAATCTCCAAAACGTTATGGGAGGTCCAAACACCGCTGCGATAGCTAAATCGTATAAAAATGCTCGAGAAGTTCAGACTAACATATATTATTTATCTCCACACTACATAATGCAAAATTTTTAATACAATGGATCATTTTCTAATTTCTTCACAATTGAAATATTCGCTTCTTCGCGAAGCTAATTTCACAGTTTATGCACAAAATTGTCACGACAAATGTAAAATGTTAAAAATTTAGTGGATTTTATGCACTGTAGAATGAATAAAATATCTATGGTTGGGTGGAACCAACCGCACCTTCTCGAGTGCAGAACAACACTTTATACTGAGCCATTCTACCCCTTGCAGGCTCTCTTATACAATACATTTTATATTAAAGAAACTTGAAACAAACATTACTTTACAAAAATTAATGTCAATTGAGTTTACTGGCAGAGTCACGAAAGCTTTTCCTCAGTGCTACAACTATTTTGCTCTCAATGAGTGTTAAATATTTTAAACTCTCTTCAAATGAGATAAATTAAATCTTCTTAGTACATCTACAGAACGTAGTACCGGAAATAAACGTAGAATGAGCTGTTGCCAACAGGATGTCCAAAGCCAATCAACCAATCGGCCAAGGCATTTTCGACGCGAAACTTTATGTTTCCAAGAGTGTACATTGACTAAGCTTCTGGTTTAAAGAAGAACTGTGGATGATAATGATGAATTCGAGCCGGGAAAGTGAAGACGTGCACAAACCGCTAGTCGCCCGAAGAACAATGAAACTTGAGCAAGGTGCTGCAGTGCAGTGTGTTCCCAAAGATGCGTTCGCACATTATGTGTAACATCATAAAATAGGGAAAATGTTAATACAACAGTGTCATTTCACGTCGTTTTAGATACAGCAATATGTCATAAAGGTGAAGAATGTTTAAAAAAGTTACTCATTAATTACAAGTTAAATTTAATTTTTTTTATGAAATAATAAATAGTACGTATGAAAAGTAGTTACCCGCCAAACATTTAAAAATATGTAATTCTTTTTAAAATACTAGCTTTATAACAAAATATTTTTGCCATAAACGAAACTACATTCATTTTGAAAATGTTTTCAACAATATATTTAATTTAACAACTGAAAAAAGGAAGATATAAAAAAATGTTGCGATCGCGCATCAGTGGGACTTAATGGGTTAAGTACGAGTGAGTAGTTGATCTGGGTGGGGCCCCATCCCCCTCTATTTTTCACCGAAAATGGATATGAAGGGAAAAAATAAAACATATTTTTTTAAATTGTCATATTTATTATTTGTCATCAAATTGTTATCACATTTGTTTGTCGTCATCTTTATTTTATGTAACTTCAGTAGATTTCATTTTTGCAATGCAAAAACAGCGCTGCGCTTTGCATTTTTAAATATAAACTCATTTACCAATTTTTGCATATCGGTTTTGTCCATCATGTTGCTACAAACATGTGAAATCGCAATACTGTCGCGCCGATTTTGCAACGTAGTTCATCGCATACGTTTTGAGTAGACACGATATCGAGAAACTTCGATCATTTCTGGATTTTGAAATTTATGGAATTTGAATTTTTTCCCTCACTCGAAAGTCCGAGTGGGTAAAATACCGGACTTTTTCGTGTGGGTATAGCTACCAATCTCACCCATAGTATCCGCCGGGTCTCGTACTTGCTGTCGGTTTCTTTACTGTTACAGACACTATTTCGTTTCTGGCTACACTCATCAGATTTATCGAAAATATCCATTTGTGATTTGGCAACATCTCAAATATTACTCTCTCTCGGTACCTCTGAAACGTGAATTACTTTTACAATGTCATTGATTCTTATAGGCATAGCATGAATACGTGAGTGCCAATTATGCTGCTTAGGACGTCGCCTTATTAAATGTGAAGTGTCTAAACGAAAATCTGTTCTTTGTACAGAATCATCAGCCTGTTGCATGACCTAGTGACACTGATTCTAAGTCCCGTACTAGCATTGTGGAGGTTCATTACATGGCGGATACGCTACGTGTATCTGGGTGAGAAATTACCCGGCCCCAAATGCTGGCCGTTTATAGGGGGAGTTCTCAACATTCCTTCATTTACTACCAAAGGTACTGAAGTCACAAATGTATTATTCTTACTAAAATACCGAATTTATTTTGTTAAAGACACTATTTGTATTTCCTTTAATTACAGGTGTAACAGAATTCTTCTTGGGAATTACCCAGGAATTTGCTTTTAAAAAATATCCTGCTCGAATGTTTCTTGGGCCTTTATTATTTGTTTACACAAGCAGTCCAAAAGATAACGAGGTAAGTAATAAGATTTTTAATTAGTGAAAATGTTCATGATTTGAAACAAAAGTCTTGAAGGTGAAACGGTAATTAGCCGGTTTTCAAGTATGAGTGTTTAATGAATAAAAACAGCGTGAGTATTGCTATAAAACTAAATAATTAGCAACAACTATTGCATTGGCCAGACTTTATTGCATTTTCGAGGCACAGACCGATGATTACCACTCGATAAATGAAGGGGCAAGAATAGAATCCGGTAGTTTTCACGTAATCCTACTATATCCTTCACAGTTTCGAATAATTAAATCTGTAGATTAAGCTCTTTCAATCAATTAGATCTAGATGTACATCATTACAGCACAAAATTAATAAAAATTGTGATACATTATTTCATAAAATATCAAATTGTCCTCTTGTGAATTTTATCTCTGAGCAGCATATATTTATATTGAGATAGTTTACGAATAATATACCCAGCAGATGAAGGCACATTGAAAAATCCCGGATAATGAAAAATAAAACTTCCTGAGGTTCGTTTCAACCAATTGGAGGCCTAGAAAATACACGGCTAGAAAAGTGAAAGTGAAGGCAATCAAAATTGAGGCTAGAGCCACTGAATTATCATCGTTCTTACCTTATAATAATTGTCAATTTCACTTTTACAGATGATTTTATCCGGATACAAATTTATCCACAAAGGACTTCTGTACAAATTTTTTCATCCGTGGTTGGCAACAGGCTTACTCACTTCAACCGGTAAATAAATACAAAAAATAGAGATGAACATTATGCAGGTTAATACATCAAAGTTATGAGTATATAAATAATTATTTGGCGTTCATAGTTCACTGATGAAAGTACAAAATATTCCATGAAATGTTATAATTGCCACTTTGTACGTAAAACGTTTTCGGATACATTTCGAATCATAACAAAAAATTGTGGTAATCCATAATGATTAAGGATTCAGGAGAAATCAGTTTTAAAAATATATTTATTATTAAAAATTCATTAATCAGACGTGTTTAATCCATGATACATAGTGCCACTGCAGATGAGATATTCTCGAAGCATGCCCTAGTTACTTAAAGTATTATTTTTTTTAACTTCATGGTTGATATATCCTGAACCCTTAATCAGTAACGAGTATTGTATACATTCACATGAGTGGTATTTATGAAAACTAGGGTCGTCAATTGCAAGGGCGATCTTTTACATGCGTCAAATTGATTCATATATGCTCAAATACGCCATATTACGTCCACACACACACAAACACACACAGCCGCGCACTGTCAATCTCCCTCTCACTTACTCCCTCTCTCTCACACATACACTCTCTCTTATTCTAATTTCTCATTCGTTTTTCACTCTCTCATTGTCTCTCACCCTATCTCTTAGCCTCTTGTCTCTTACACATCCTCTCACATCCCCACTCTCACAACCGCCACACACACTCACAATCACACACACACACACACTCACACATATAAACACAACCACGCTCTCATGTCCAAGAGCTGGCTGCCGGATCTGTCAAGATTGTTTCATCGGACTATTCAAGAGTATCGCACCGCCGCATGATCCTTGCTCCATAGTGACTTATGCCCCCAGTGGCCTTTGGTCCCCGTGATCTTTTCCCATTCATCTTATCCCGCAGTAACTCTCTTTGACACCGAGTGACCTCTTAGTCCCAGAGATCTGCGCTTTAGGTGCTGCTTCTGTTTTCTTTGCCTATGCGCGGTACCGTGAATAGTCTTGAGAAAATTCAGTCTACGTTGCAGGGGCCTGGTACCCCAGTAGACGTGGCGGTAGCTGTAGCAAGTTTGTAAGCTGTATTTCAGACTTCGTCATGTAGCGACCAAAGGAATATTACAGAGGGAGAAAACTGGTAGCGGTAGCAGCTAATTAAAGAGTTACAGACAAACATTATTTACATACTCTTTGCAATCTTGAGAAAAAGATCACTGAACTTCTTTAGTGTGTCAAACCTCACCACAATGTACATGGTGTGATCAAGAAATTAGCGTAGGCGATTCTCGCATGTTTTAATGACGTGGCTACGATTGAAGAAAGAGGGCCGTTCTCTCCAGAGCCTCAGTCTACTAAGAATACTATAAAAAAGAAGAGCACTCAGACATCTCGAAAAAAGACAAGTCGTGAGTACAGGAGTGAAGACAAACAGGAAGTCACAGTGCATTCGTGAACACCAAGAAAAAGCAGGAACGAATTTGAATAAAATCCTTAAGAGCAATGACGTCGAAACTCTAGTGAAAACACCTTCCTGAGAATCATTAGGAAGCGAGCCCGAGTTGCAAAACGTCGTCTGCAGACGGAAATGCGTCCGAAAACTCGAAAAAGGCCACCAAAGCCAAATGCTTACTTTCTTTTAATGTCAGACACTGATTAAGCTAGTCACCAGAAGCCCTTAGCGCCGTCTTGTGAGACCTATCCTGAGCACATATGCTTTGGTAATAAGAAAAAGAGGTGATGTCTTATCCTACGCGGACATATTTGGGAAAGTTATGGCAATGCTGAGCTTAAAAATATGGGTTCAAATGTGCCTCAGATTAGCAAGACAGCATGTAGCAATCTCCTTCTACAACTTCGCAGATCTGCACACTGCTAAAATTGGAATTTCAGTCTTCAGTAAAGAAAGTGTTTAGGTGGCAAACCGGTGTGAGAACATTTGACCATGACGTGAACATTCAGGATGAATGAGTTCAATACTAAAGACGAAGTCCACAGTGATTTGATTGATCGATTCTCGGAAGCAAAGGATTTAAAGGCATCAGAAATTAAATTCAGGAGACAGCATATGGAGAACTCAGGTAGCAGTAGTCACCCGATCACTGTAGCCAATGCTCTGTTGCCTGCTGGTATTGTGAGAATAGGATGGGTAAACTGCCGACTGAATTGGAGGAAAACCCCTCTGAGATATTTGAGACGCTTACATTTTGACACACGTCGAACGTGCAAGAGCCCGTGAGACAACAAACACGATACCCGGTGTAACAGGTGTCCTTACCAAAGAGCGCTAAATGCAATATTGGACAGTCCATGTAAATCTTTTAACTAAATCTGAACCAGTGTGAAGTTGCTCAGGACATCCTAGCACTGTTTGTGAAGAATGGGATACATATTGCAATGAGCAATGCAATGCTCATCGCACAGCATGACCCTCGAGTCACGCTGAATTATAATACTTCTAGGCAAAGAGTGCCTCTTTCGCGCATTCGACACACACAGCTGCATATCCCTGCTCGTAACCATCCCCAAAGGGCACCCGTCCACCCCTTTGTGCAACAGTGGGTGATGAACAGCCAGAACTGTTGCATTAAGAGGCGACAGCAGCCCACTCTAAATCAAGACCGGCTTATGGTAAACTTCGCGTGTAACTTTCCGTTAAGTTTTGCGACGGGGTAGGTCGGGCATCTTGCGAGAAGGGTGGGGGTGGAAATCGCAGAGGCAAAAGGGTGCTGGAAGGTCTGGACAGTTGGAAATAGACTGTCGAAGTGAGCGGTCGGCTCAGAGATTTACTAGTAATTTTAACGGCGACTACCGCCGCACGAGAAACTGTTAAAAATATTGAGCCAGTAATTTCGATAATTCCTGCATCGGAATTTATTCCGAATGCCGAACTGGAACGATTTAAATAACACCCTTTACGTATACGAGGGGGTGTGCAGAATTGTTTCTCAGCTGCTAAACACTACGCGGTCCAGGCAACGTTTGACGACCTGTGACCCGCGCACCGAACGATGCTGCCTCAACTCCACTGGACCCTGGGCGGTCTTCGACTCAACCAGGCGCAGGTTCTTGCCGGCTACCGGAGAAGTCCATGGGGCATCTGCTGCCACCGACTGCCAGTTGAGTTTGTAATTCTTTCGGAGTGAAGTATCTAAATTCCTGCCATCACATCACTGTAAGTTTATATATATTCAATTAACCGTCAATGTAAAAGAAGATCAACACGAACAATAAACGTGTCCCCGTCGTTTTGGTCGGGTGATTTTACTAGGAAAATGTGTATTATTTAAGTAATTAGTAAATGCAACCTCCGACCCAGGGAGCCCACCCCTGATGGTGTTTCGACGCCAGCGCCCAGATACAGGTAGGCATACGCTTGGCGCCCACATAAATAAATTTAGCGCATGCCCCTGGTATCAGGAAATTACAGTCGCACCTTAAGTGTGACGGCACCTCTATAATAGTGCGACTCACTGCGACACGAATATTCACGTCAGCGTGGTCCATTACAATGTGCGGCCATGTATAAACAATACAGAAAACGCGACGATTCATCCTTGGGCTGCAAGTTGGGTTGCACTGCAACAAAGCAAAACTTTGGGCAGAAATTTGGGCATGAGGGAAACGTCCATTCCAAGAAGTAATGAATTAAGATAAGGTTGAATTTGTTTGGGTCAATGTAGATGGAATCTTTATGTTCAGCTGCTACGTGTTACCAAACGCAACGTTTGATGTGTTTGAGCAATTCCTTGATCGTCCAGCTCTTGATACCAGAGGACGCAACCCCCTCGTGATATTTGGGGTCTTCAACGCGTGGGCTGAACAATGGGATAGCTAGACAACGAACAAGAGAGGCCAAGCAATGCTAGAGTCATTCTCTCTTGAAAGCAGTCCTTGAAACACCGTAAATACACTTCTTACAGGTGGTGATAGCCTTAAGGCTTATGAGAGGTAGCTTGTTCAGAATGGAAGTACCTTGGAAAATCAGCGAACATTCCACACACAGCAACCACCAGGTTATTCTATAATAGGTACAATATCAAAGAATGTCGCACAATCGATATCGCATCGTCGATTTTGCAGAATTGTTATCTTGTATAATCTATCTACGGCAGAATCGTCATATCACATAAAATATATATCGCATAATTGACATAATGCATAATCGAATATGCATAAATCGACATATCGCATAATCGTTAAGAACTTGAAGCACACCGATGCGTCCACGGTGTGCAATCTCTCGATAATCTTGACCAGTTTTGAGAGTCTGCGCATGCGTAACGTATAAGTGCGCATGCGCAGAATGTCGACCTTGCTGTCGGCTGTTGCACGCTAGGGTATGTTTAAAGTCCCTCACATTTACTTTCCTGTTGCGTGTAGGAGAAAAATGGCGCACCCGTCGGAAGGCGCTGACGCCCGCCTTCCACTTCAAGATCATCGACCAGTTCGTGCCGGTCTTCAACAGCTGCAGCGACGTCTTCGTGCAGCAGATGCGCGCGCGCGTCGGGGCCAAGGGCTTCGACGTCTGGGAGGACGTCAAGCTGCTCACGCTCGACGTCATCTGCGGTAGGCGCGACCCACTAACACTGCTTTACCCGGCGAATTTAACAGACCTCAAATTTACAGATGTGGAAATCACACATATACATTACGTTATGTATTCCTTAGAGATGTACGGAGAGAAATAACGACTTTAAGATATTCCAAAGCTGTAACAAGACAAATTGATTAATGTGTGTTTGTTGAATCTTGAACACTCAGCTCTCATATTTTATTTGCAATTCTTTGACGTCTCGAATTTTGTTAATATCACTTCACTTTCCATATGGTGTCACTGAAATTCCGTTCCATCTAAATACTGAATATTACATAGTTTTGAAGCCAGATCTTTGTAGTAGTGGAATGTGTTTACACCCTGCGTCCATAGAAACGTAACGAAAAGTATAACATTTTCTGGCTTGTATATAAGTAGGAGTCGGAAACTGTTCATATCGTTATGAATTTCTTTAAATAGTAATGGAAATGTGTAACCTGAAACTTAATAATTCACACCGCTTTAGTCAAATTGAACAAACTAGACGAAACGCGTAAATTTACACGATGCCGAATTTTCGGCAGAAAAACATGCTTTGCGGAACCTTGCCCTACAATCGGCGTAAATGCGTAAATATCTATTAAAGGGGTGAACCGATCGAGAGGCGACAAAAGTTCGAGGGCTTTGTGTCGTCCGAGAGCATTAGAATAAGTTATCACCCGTGGCACATACAAGATATTATTTTTTACCTTATTTTATTGCTTTTGAAATTAAGAATATAAAAAGTTGGAGGGAGTAATTTGTGTATCAACTTTTGATGTTGGCCACATAAGTGACTTAGGTTTCATGTCATGTTTCATTTTTGACCATTCATAAACCCGAACAGAACATTGTTTTACATTCATGTTGTGTAAAATGTACGGAAAACTTACAATATATTTTCTTGTGGATTTCAGAGACTGCCATGGGCTTCAAAATTAATGCACAGATTGATAGTAATTCTGAGTATGTGACTGCATTGAACGAGTGAGTATTAACAAACTATACATGCGATATTGATGCTTGGGTTATTGGTAGTAATAAAATACAGATGTAAATTGTATTATTGGTTGTATGATGTACTGATGTATTTATTTTCATTTACATTCCAGTAGTTTTTCAAGTTTCGGTGGCAAACTTCTGATTTCCAAATAGTCGATATTGTAAGGGTCGTTGAGATAAAGTTGTTCCCTATTCAAAAGTAAATGTTGCAATAATAATAATAATAACAATAATAATAATAATAATGATTAATTTGTCACCTTGCAAAATAATACACACAAAATAACCACAGAAACATTACCAAAAAGTAAGTGCAAATTGTTAATTTTTCAGGCTGCTGGCTCTGACAGTTCTAAGGATGATGAAACCATGGTTGTTCTTTGACTGGATCTATTGGCTCACACCTTCTGGCCGACAATACAAAAAATGTCTACCCATTCTGCACAATACAACTGATCGGGTGAGCACTTCAGTGGATTAAAAAAAATCAAAATGCTATTTTTGCAATACTGATTAGTTATTCTCTAAGAGCACGTACTTTCTCGTATTAATGGTTCTTTTAGGAAATATTCATACATAATAATGCGATGCCTTTTACCCTATCACTTAAGCCATAATTTAGAAAACCCAAACGATATAACTGTAATCTATGTCTAAAGTACTCCTTCTTAAAGATCAAGTAGATGATATGATTTTAAAATCTAATAAAGAGGAATAAAGTGCATTAAGAAATAAATTTCTAGCATAAATATTGAAGGGAAGTACAGGTACAAAAATAAGCTTTTGCAATTTTCAAGCATTTAGATATATAAATGAAATCTGAGTACTGACCTTTTATAAAACAAGTTTGCTCAAATCCAGAAAAAATTGAGAAAAAAATTCAAAAAGTTTTCAAAACATAGTAGATAAAGCAGATTAAAGTAATATGATTCCCCAAAAACTAAATATTCCTTTAAAGTCACTGAACCTCGGTCTGTGTCTGTTAGATCAGAGGATTTTCAAGTTGAATAAAATGTTTGTCTAGCAGTCACCGGTTTATGGCTTTAACATTTTTCAATAAACCTCAATTATTATTGTGTGTATGCGGTAACAATATTTAGTAAATTTTGGTAACTGTGTTTGAAATTTTACCTTTCGTCTGTATACTATATTACAAGAAGGAAAAGTACTGGAATTACCTTAACAATATGCTTTGAATATCGGTCGTAAAATCAGTGTTTAAGAATCTTATCACCTGTATTTTCGCACACGCATAAGGATTATGGTATATTGTTGCTCCAAAAATGGCTAAGATTGGTGCAAGCAAAGGGGAAATACATGATTGCTAAACCCGAAAATCGATTTGTATAGATGGACGAATGGGTTGCGCACAATTGTCTGATTAGAAGCTCGAGTAGAAACTTGGTAAATACGTTACGAATAAAATCTAGTTGACCCGTTCCGGAGATTATTAATATATTTTTTTTCGTTTAGTTCACTAAATTAACTCCATGGAAAATCGTTGATTATCACCATGTTAATTGCAAGTGTGCAATTCAAACTCCACCTAGAAACTAAAACCGCACAATTACCAATCAGAATTCAGAAAACGGATCAATTTCTTAATTAAGTAACAAGAACACTGACGTGACCAAGGTATTTCCAGTAACCCTTGAAACATAAACAAAATTGTACATCATAGATTACGTACATCTACATCAACAACATAAACAACAAATGAATTAACCGAAATTGATTAAGTAAACGCTGGTTTGACTCTACTGGAGTAACATTTAATTTATTATGTTCTTATTATTTAATGTATAACACGCAAACATTTTCGTGGGAAGTAATCTTTTATTGTCTTTGTCAGCTTCTTCTAGTATTTTATCCGGAAAATGTCCAATATCTTCCTTTTGCAAAATTTTATTTATCCTCTATGTCAGTATGGTGATCGTAAGGTACAGTTAAAGGTCCACTAAAATACGTCTTTTTCAGGAGCAATATGTCATCAAATGTATGCCTTGAATGGCGAAGGTGGACAAGGATTTTTACTTTCCTCCAATTGTAGGGAGTAATATACGTATAATAGTGAAGTAGGTTGTGTTATGTATTGCTGCGGAAAATAGGTTTCAAAATTTCAACGAAAATACACGTTTTGGAGTGATACTGAAAAAGTGGTTCTTTTCAAAACGTCCGTCTGTCCGTCCGTCTGTGAACACTACTAGCGCCTAAACCATGCGTAGGCCTTTTTCCAAATTGAAGAAACCACTGTCCATCTGACTCGAATCGAAGCTTTGATATTTTGAAAAACATTCTTCAAAATTTGGATGTACTTTACATAAAGCTCTCCGGACATTTTCAAAATTTTCTCAAAAATGGCTGTATTTTTTTCTTTAAATGTATTGTAAGAATGTAGTAACATACACATAAAAGTGTCGTAGGTCCGATTTTCAGGTTAACTCTGAATTTTCGAAAATTTCAAAGTGCAATATTTTTCGGTGGGCTTTACAACTTCGATACTAAAGATAGAACTTCTTCTTTCAAATAATATTTGATGTCCACAATTAGTTCTATTATGAAAGTCATGTAAATGTTTTTGAAAATTTTAGTAGTTTTTGCGCAGTATTGCGTGCAACACTTGCAATTTTAAAAATAACTAAAACAATTTCGAATTTCCGCTTAGAAGCACTACAGAAGGACTTAATGGCCAGTTTTTTACAATCGTCTCCAAATTTTTCAAAGAAAATTGTCATTTAGGTCGCAGTTTTACTGTTCTGTAATATTTGTAAAATAATATTTCTGTTGAACAATATGGAAACCGGAAAATTAAGCAAATTTCAGAAAATGTACTTTGAATGCAATAGATTACAGTTGGCAAGAATATGTGGCGAGTCAAAAATAGCTAGCCAAAGGATACAAAAAACTTAGATGGGAAAGTCTGCGCCATTGTGTAGCACCAATAGTTCAAAATTGTAATTTAAATGATTCTTAAATAAAAAGGAAAAAATATTGAACGTAACATTTGGATGAAGGGGTATAATTACATTCGTGTTAAAAAATACATTCCTTTCGGCTCTCACACGCAACTGATCTTTATAAATGCGGTCTCTAAAGGAAGAGAGATCGTATTTATAAAGATTCACGGAGACATGACAAATTGCACTTTGACTTTAAAACTATGAAGAATGTGTCTAAAAAACGCATCTAAATATTCATGACAGATGCAATACGAAGCACTCAGTTATGTCGTTAAATAACTCCTAAACAAAGCGTTCTAGGGTCTTAAAAATGTAAATTTTGATACCAAAGGTCTCAAAGAAACATTACTCACACTGTAATCTACAGGATGAGATATTATTGTACATTCTATTAAATTTTTCCTGGTTAGATAACTTATTGATACTACCACTGCCACCTATATCTCAAGCCTTGGTGATGGTGGTCATCTTTGTGACGTCACGCTTAGATTCCTCTATCTTATACTATTTACGCTGGTTTGTGCTGTCTGACGAGGTTTATTTGCATGATTATTAATTAAAAATTCGCTCTTGCAGCAACAACTAGAACTAGAGATTGCTTTATACCAATATGTAGTTCCTTATGCGTGTAGTGAAAGACATTCATTTAACCTTTGCCAAGGTCTACAAGAGCTGTTTACCTAATTATGGAGGGACGTGGATGCACAGTGAAGAGTGAAGACGTGTCTTGTTAGATTTGGTTTGTCTTTTACCTGTACCAGTATTTTCGTTATCAGCAGTGATTCGGTGAAGCTTTTAAGTCAACGTGTTCAGTCACGTAGCTTTCTCAAAAGTAAAAATCTTTTTTTATATTTTTGTGGCTATCAAAAAAAGCGAAAAGCTAACTATAAAAGAAAATTGAATAATTACTTCAAATATTTTTTTAGGACGTTTTGTGAATTGTTTCAAGAAATCTCTAGATAATACTGAATAAAATTTTAGTGAACATTTCTTTAACAACTTTCCCTCTTAGATTGGAAATATAAGGATGGGGAAGAGAGTGGGGTTTAACATGAGAGAGTTCTCGCACAGGTACGCGGATATAGTAGGGGAAACGTTATGCTATGGCACAACACAAAGAACCAACTTCATAAATTAACAAAGTAAAATAACATGAAATAATTGAACAAAAAATCAAAACGCGCTAGCCTGCAGTACTCTGTGAATAATTTTAAAAATCAAACAAATTTATAATTGAAGAAAAAATAGCACAAGTCACCCGACAATTGCCAACAATCACAATCGAGATGCAAGATTTAAATGTTGGTTGTATATGGAAGTCTGTACATCAATTCCAGCTGTAAACTTATATTATAAATAATACACCGTTTGGTATTATACTTAAGAAGTCGGTCCGGTAAGATATTCAATACGTAAATATCGTTTAAGCAATATTCCCATGTACCGAAGTTAAGTTTAAGCCTACTGAATTATTTCCTATGGTAACAAATGGTATTTATTATTCAGAGGTGAAAATATTGGTTTTATTATTTTTGTGATCGGAATTGATTTTCTTGGTGTATGTAAGAACGCAGAAAATAATCCAATACATTTTAGTATACAAATATTTTTTCAATTTTTAGCCCAGTTAGCTGGCGCCCTGCCCCTCCAAACTCCTGCTTTTCATAACAGATCCAGAAAAGTTAAATAATATTGCAAAGAATAGGTTTGTATTTGCCCGATCCTGCATTTTTGCGTGGAAAACTACTTGGCTTTCTCAAGAGTACATGTACAGATCTTGGGAAATACAAAACTTTTCTTTTACATTTTCAACCACATCATGAATTCTGTCACAGTGAATAGTCTTTTAATTTCTTTTAGAAGGTGTAAACCTCTCTCTCATTTCATTAATCTCCCATCGATTGATACTGGACGACGTGAAACAATGATTTGGTGGTTTTCTAGTTTTACTTTCCCTTAAAAATGCTTAAAAACTGAGTGATATATGTACTATAGGGAAAGTTATGTAATGCTGCGCGAAAAAACGACGAATTTTTGACAGAAAAAATAATTGCTGGGCCCTGATATCGAAAACATGGATAAATCTAGTTGCTAAGTTCAAAAAAAAAATTCTCTAACACGTGGTGTAGCCAGAATACCTGTTTTGGGGGTCCTTGATACCGAAAAACAACTAACGACAAAACGGCCGTTAAAACGTCCGACAAAGCGCCTAAACCATGCAAAGGATTTTTTCAACTTGAAAAAAAACCTGTCCATCTGGATCGAGTCGAAATTTTGAAAAAACGGGGGGGAAATTTGGGGGTACTTTACATGAAGCTCCTGGGATATTTTCCAATATTTTTCTTTAAATATCTTTTACGAATGCAATAAAACTTGCATTTTTTCTGTCTGCCAACAAATACAAAATTAAAGACAGAGATTGTTCCTTCAAATGAAATTTGTTGTCCATAATTAGCTCTTTCATTAAGATCAAGAACATTTTTTTGAAAATTTTAGAATTTTCGCGTTATATTGAAAATGTACAATTTTATAAAAAAAACAACATTTTCTCATAAACGACTTATCATTTTTTCTTTAAACTTTTGGTAGAGATACAGCTAAATGTACTCTATGAGATGGGTTCGTAGGCTTGCGTGCGTACTCTATGGGATGCGTACTCTATGAGATGCTGCTGTGGGTGCTATGGGTGCGTACTCTATGAGATGATATAAAAGTGACGTTGCTCTATTCTGTTTTCCCCCAAAATTACAAAAATGTAATATTTTGACTTGCCTCAGTCGTTGTTAATATTTACATTAGCTGCAATTTGTTCACATTAATATATTTACGAGTACATGAGCTTTAATAATGTCATATAAAGTTTCTTAAAACTCAACCGTGTTTTTGGGAACTAGCTGAAATTCCATTTTCATTTTCAGAAATGCTCAAACGTCATTTTCTCAAAAACGGCTTCGCATTTTTTCTTCAAACTATTTGAACGGATAGTGATAATTACACTGTTTAATATAAGCAAAGTTCATTCCGAGATATTTGTTTTTAAAAAAGTACATTAATGCATTTTTTAAAGACATTTTACGGCGTTAATATGTACATTCTCAGTAATTTGTAATCACTATCGTATTTGTAAGTTAATGTGCTACAAATTACCTCTATTGATGTATTTTGAAAACTCATAAATTATCTGTGAAAAAAAGCTTCAAATTTCGAATTTACAGTAGTGGTAGATAGCCATTGTCTTAAAAAGTCTCCAATTTTTTTAAAACGGAATTGCCATTAGGACAAGGTTTTTTAATAATCTTGAAATAATATTTCCGTTCTACTATTAGGAAAACGAAAAATTAAGAATTAAAAACAAATGTACTTTGGTCGGCGTTAATGGCAGCTGTCAAGAATGCGTGGCAAGTTCGATTAGCAAGCCAGGACCAAAGGAGATACAAAACTAATACAGGAAAGTCTGTGCCATTCTGTTACATCACTAGTTTGGTGTGCGTCCTTGCTGCTCGAAATTTTAATGTTCCAACTTTCCAAGCTATTTTCAACCGGATTGATTTCTGCGACTTAAATATTAACATTAATAACATTAGGAGAAGGAGAATTTTCGGAATGCTGATCTTTTCTTCTTTTGTTTTCTAGAACCCGTGCGACTGTAGTCCAAATAATTTTTGCGTTATGATATACATTGTTCTGCAGTCCGTTTTATATAGTATTAAACATTTCGCATGACCCAATTTTATTTCCAGCAGTAGTTCATTAACTGAAGGTCCACATACACTTTTAGTCTCCACTGATTCTTGAAGTATGTGCATTGCAGTATTTAATTAACTTATGCTCACGTAACACTGTGGCTAATTAAACCCAAGAGCAAAAAGATCGAAAGGTAAAACTCTTCCCTCATGACGAGCTGCTTTAAATATAATCTTAGCTCTTACACCTCAGCGACTTGTTTTCGGTTGAAGGCAACATTAAACTATAAAGTCTTCTTGAGCTACAGAATCCCTAACCATAACATTCAGTATACCTAAAATGAAATGTACCAAGAAGCAAGGTAGAAAACTAGAAACTTTTGTTCCCGTGTAAAATAAACTTTTAATCGATACACAAAGTATACCGTTGATTTGACAGAACTGATTACAAAATTGCAACCCTCTTATGGCTCTACACCAACTACATACTCCTACTACACCACCTCTCCCCGCCTGAACCTCTACCCCAAAAAACAACTAGTATTGGTATAGGGTGGCACATACTTTCTAGTACTAGTTTGTTTCCTTGTCTCTTCAGTCTGGGCTACATTTTTGGTTTCGCCCCGCTCACTTTTCTGCTGGTATCTATTTGCGCATAATTATTTTTCACGTTTTGTTTACTTTTTGAGAAACAAAGATTACAATAAAGTGTCACCGTTGCCATGCCCTTCATTGCATTTAACACTATACTTACAAAAAGTCTGAAGAAAAAAATTGAGGCCGTTTTTGAGAGAATGTCATTTGAATGCTTCTCAAAACGTGACATTGAGATTTTTTATTTTTGTTTTCATTTTACCAGAAACTACATAAGACATCATTTGAAGCTCTTGGACTTACAAATGCAATGAAGTATACAAATTGCGCGACATATAAAAATTCTTGATTTGAAAGAGATGTCAAAAATATTACATATGTTAATTCATTTAAAACAAAACAATACCGCAAAATGAAATTTATGGCATCTGATACAGTGCATTTATCACTATCTCTACAAAATTCTTAACGAAAATATTGAAGAAAAATTGTTTTTTGAGAAAATGCTTTTTTAAATATTGCCCATAATTACTAAAATTACGTGAAAACTAAATTTAAAAAAATATGACAACAATTAACGAACTGATTATGGAGAACAAATTTCTATTGAAGAAAAAATCTTTTCCTTCAATATATAAAGCAAAAATATCTGCTCTTCAACTTTGCTTACGCTAACTCATCCTGTTGATTGCAGATGATCCGCGAGCGGAGGAAGGAACTGCTACTGTTGGAGAAAGAAGGCGGAACTCTGGACGCCGACGAACTTGGTATGTCAGCCGCAAAGATGTGCACAAAGATGTCAACAGTTAAACACCTATGTCCTGGTCACGAATAGGACGATGGTTAATTGTGGAGGCACAATCTCTGATTGTGGTCAATCTCTGAGCAGTGTACAAACCAAGCACTGTGTGCGTTCATATCGCAGATTCAGTGCTCGGAATACTGGAAATTTACTTTACTTAATTCCCGAATTTACTTTCTCGTATACGTACATATATACGGAGTAATATACGCAATATAAAGAAATTTATGTAATGCTGTGCGAAAAAAGGGGAGCTCTTCGGGAGAAAACATTCATTGCCGGTCCCTGATTACAAAAACGTGGATAAATCCAGTTGCTAAATTAAGGGGGAAATCATCTAACATGTGGTGTAGCCAGTTTCCCTGTTTTGTGGATTCTTGATACGGAATAATCAATTGACGGGAAAACACCTGTCCGTCCATCCCACCGTCCGTCCGTCTGTCTGCCCGTTGTCCACCTGTATGTCCTTCCCTCTATCTGTCCGTCCGAATGTCTGCCCATCCGTATATGAAAACCACTAGCCCCTAAACCATGCGTAGGATTTTCTCCAAATTGATGAGCGATCCCGCTCGAGTCAACGCTTCGATTTTACGAAAAACATTCTTTAAAATTTGGGGTTACGTTACATAAAATCCCCGGGATATTTTCAAAATTTTCTGAAAACGTATTCAATTTTTTTCTTAAAATTTGTTGTAATAATTTTCTTATGAATAAGATTAAGTGTTAATTTTGTTGTCACATATCATTCTATTTATATTGAGACGAACCTGCCCGTTGGAATACGCCGGCGACTTGTGAGTACCGAATCCAGCGGGGTCTCTCCTAGAGACACGTGAGTGTTCGATATAATAGAGGATGACAGGTTGCTCGTGCTAAATTTATTTAAATGTGGGCGCTAAGTGTGATACCAATCTGCCTCTTACGCAATCTCTAGATTCCAGAGAGAATGGCGTCTGGTGGAACGAAAACTTTGTAGCTTCCTTTTTGAGGTTTCAAAATAGTTTCAGATCTTGAAGTTTTTCAAAGAAATGTGCCTTTGCTAGATGAAAGTATAGACAGCCTCTCGATGGATTTCATTCCGCATCTCTCTAGATTTCCGACAGCATCTCTCTATTCTCATCTCTACCCTGTGTTACCATTCCTTGTGTGTAAGTGCCATGGTTATGTGTGTGTCGTCCTGTGACACTATTGGTTTCTTAGATACTTCTATAAAATTTAAGAGGTTGTGGATACCTATTGGTCGACCCAGTTTCCACTTTGATGACCTACATAATCTGATCGATGAACAATGATAACCAACAGGTCGTCATTGTTTAGCTTCTGGTGACGATGGGTGGCAGGGGGGGGGCATCTGCTGGGAGCCGACGCTCTGGGTGAAGAAATATAGCTAGTCCCAAAGGATTAGCGAGGGGGCATTTGCGAAGCAAAGATAATCCAAGTTATCACGGCATCACGAGTGTTAAGTGCGCGGAGCACGGTTTGACGAAGGTTCTTTGCGTTTAAAAGCGGGAGTCATAGAGGGGTGGTGTTTTATGAATCTTCGGGTCACCTTGCAGCTGACATTAGCTGATGTCAGCAGGTACATTAGCTATAATGTGACGGGGAGAAGGGGTGGGTAGAGCTTCGGGGCGCGTGGACTTATGACAATTAGCACACGTGAGATGTCAAACATCTCAATATGTTGCTCAGTCCTTTTTTACTTTCCCGTATACATAAGTATATACTGAATAATATACGTAGCGTAGGGAAAGTTGTGTAATGCTGCGCGAAAAAAGAGAAATGTTTGAAAAACATTCAATGCCGGGCCCTGATAACGAAAAAGGGGATAAATCCCGTAGCTAAATCATCTACCACGTGGAGTAGTCAGAATCCCTGTTTTGTGTGTCCCTGATACCGAAAAACCAATTGACGACGAAACGTCCGTAGGTCTCTCCATCTGGAAGTCTCTGAACACCACTAGGTCTAAACCATACGTACATTTTATTTCTAAAATGGATATTCCGCCGTTGCTCTGGTTCCTCTCAATCCGCTGGGAGTTTGAAAAACTTTCTTCAAAATTTACTTTACATGAAGCCACCCGGGCATTTTTTCAAAAACGGCTCCAAATTTTTCTTTAAATTTCTTGTAAGAATAGAGTAAAAACAGCTATAAAGGTGCCATAGCTCCGATTTCACGGTTAACTCTTTCAACAACTACAAAAGTGAAGAGAGATTTTTCATTCAAATGAAATCTGTTGCTTATAATTACTTCTTTCATTATGGTCATGTACATTTCATTGAAGGTTTTAGTAGTTTTCGCGTAATATGGCGTGCAAGGTTGTTTTGAATTGTCTCTCGTGTTATTTTTATTTTTACTAATGGCAACTTGTTCACAATACTGTATTTATGAGTTCATGTGCTTTAGATAATGTGATATAAAGTTTAGCGAAAACTCATCCGTCTTCTGCGAAAACTAGCTCAAAATTCAGCATTTTCAAAAACGCTCAAGCACAATTTTCTCAAAAACAGCTCCAAATTGTTCCTTCAAACTTTTCGAGGGGTTAGTGCTAATTGCACTCTAAATATCTAAAGTACATATTGGTGTATCCTTTTGTTTTCTCAAAAATGTAATTTTTTTAAATATCTCACGCGCTGTTAATATGTCCAGAAATTTGTAAACTCTGTTGTGGTTGTCAGTTAATGTGCTTCAAATGACTTTGAATAAAGGTTTTCGAAAACTCAAATTTTTTTTGTGAAAAAGAGCTTCAAATTTCGAATTTACAATAGCGCTTAAGCGATGTTTTCTTCGATGACAATGATTCAATATTTTCTAAATAAATTGCCATTTAGACGAGGTTTTACTGTTCTTTAATATTCGTAAAATAATATTTCCATTCTACTATTAGAAAACCGAAAAATTTAGAAAATTTAAAAAAGGGTACTTTGGGCGGCGATAGATGGCATCTGGCATGAGTATGTGGCAATTCAGAATAGCTAGCCCAGACCAATGAAAATAGAAAACAAATACGGAAATTCTGTGTCATTCTTTAGCACGAGTTTATAATTGCGCATATTGCCCGCAATAGAGCACGAAAACTACTAAAATGTTAAAAAAATGTACATGACCATAATGAAAGAAGTAATTTTAGAGAACGAATTGCATTTAAAGGAAACAATTTCTATCTTTACGTTTGTAGATGTTGGAATACCCCGAAAACAATTCTTTTTTTTTTAATTTCGAAAATTCAAAGTTAACAGTGAAAATCGTCATTTAATGGTGATTCTAGTCTATTCTTAAAATAAATTTAAAGAAAAAAATTGGTGCCGTTTCTGAAAAAATTTGACCCAGAAGCTACATGTCAAAATCTCAGAGCTTCAACAAAAGCCAAATTGACAGAGGTTTCTTCAAATTGGAAACAATCCTACGCATGGTTTAGGCACTAGTGTTGGACGGACGGACGGAAGGACTGACAAATGTTTAGTAACTATAGTGCTAATTGCACTCGTTAATATGAGGTAAAGTTCATATCGGGGTATTTTTTTGTTTTTTCAAAAATTACTCTAATGTAATTTGTTTGAAAGATCTGTCACGCCGGTATATGCACATTTGCAACAATTTGTAAACACTATTGTATTTGTGAGTAACTGTGCTTCAAATGATTTCAAAGAAGTTTTTCAAAAACTTAAAAAAATTCTGTGAAGAAGTGTTACAAATTTTAAGATAAATAAACTGAATGTGTCTTTGTCATTTTCTAATTTTCAATTTTTAAATAATTTTTCACATCTCTTATCGGATTTGTAAAACATACGAACCACAAAATCAATTATTATGTTTCGGCGTTTATGACTATTATGTGTGTCAATTCTTTGTATAACCTAGGTGGCCGAAGCGGTTAAACGTGGGGTCCGGACTTAGCGTTTTGGAGGGAAGGGCTGTTGGTTTGAGGCTGGTTCGGGAAAAGTTATTTATCACAACTCTCTGTTGCCGCATGAATACCATGAACTTTATTGAAAATCATTTGAAGCAGTGCTTTGGCAGCACTAGTAGTTTCCTGTAAACTTTTTGTAGGGATTGTGCTAAATTCACTCCTTAATATCTCCAAATTGCTCTATTTTTATTTCTTTCAAAAATAACAAAAATGTAATTTTTGACTTGTCTCTCACGTCGTTAATTTGTACATCTTCTTCTGCACTTCAAGGGTTAGGTTCAAGAACCTGTTCCGGTGTTCACTTCCTTCTGGGCCTTCCTACATCTCTTCTCCCTCTGCATTTGTAGTCCACTGCGAGTGCTGGTAGTCTGCTATCGGGCATTCGTATGAGATGTTCATACCATCTTTTCTGATTTCTTTTCAGTTTCTGCAGCAGTGGTTCGACTTTATATTTATTTCTTATCTCTGTGCTTTTCTTTTTTATCTAGGATATTATAACCTAGAGTGCTTTTAGAATTTCATTGCAGCTACCTGGATTTTAGATTTCTTTTTCTGATGTTACTCTTGCTTCCTCTGCCATACATTTACACTGGCAGAGCTACTGAGTTGAGGAATTGTATTCTTGTTTCTATCCTAGTTTTATTTTTGATGTCTGTGTATTGTGCGCATATATTTATAAATTTATTTAATTTTTTTCTAAATCTATATCTCTTTCAAACGAGATGTGGCAACCTAGATATTTGAAGTATTTTACCGGTTCTATACAATTTTCTTCTATCAAACCTTTGTCTCAACTGGGTATTTTCCTTTATATGCCATAGTTTTAGTTTTTTCTTTGGATATTTTAAAACCGTATTCTATTGCAGTTTGATTTAATTTATATACTGCCATTTGCATTTAGTCTTCAGTGTCCTGTATTATCACTTTGTCATCTGCATATAAAATATAATTTAAAAATATTTTCCTAAAATAGATCCCTCGATCTATATTCAATTTCCATGTTTTAAACATATCGGCAATGTATATATTGAAAAGTGTCGGTGATATGAAACAGCCCTATCTTACACCTTTGTTGGTGGGAATCTCTTCTGTCAATTTTCCTTTTATAATCAACTTAATACTCGTTGTTTCATATAGTTCTTTTATCACCTCTATCAAGTGTTTTGGGTACCCCTTCTTTCTATTATGTTCCACAGCAGGCTTCTATTGTCATTATCAAAAGCTTACTAATCCCTTAATAAAATACTATATCCACGAATGTTAGGTGTGTTTCATAGTGGTGTTCACGTCTTTCTTCTATTATTCTTTTTAATGTGAAAATGGCATCAGCAGTCGATCTGGCTTTTCGAAATCCCATTTGTTCTTTTGATTTAAGGTGGTATGCTATTATTTTTAATCTTTCATTTATTATACATAAATGATAATTATACAAATTATATTTTTTTTAACATTAATGTATTTGTGAGTACATGTGCTTTAAATAATCTTAGATAAAATTGCTCGAACATTCAAGTTTTCTGTGAAAATTAACTCAAAATTCCCCATTTACAGAAAAGCTCAAAAGAAATTTTCTCAAAAATGGCTCTAAATATTTCTTCAAACTTTTCCAACGGATAGTTCAGCTTGGACTGTTTAATACGATTTACTAAAGTTCATGTACTCTTTGGTTCTTGTTGTTTTTTCAAAAAATACACAAATGTACTTTTTTAAACCTCTAACGCCTTTAATATGCACACTTCCAGCGATTAATAAACACTATCGTATTTGTGAGAAAGTTCTTAAAATTACTTCAAATGTAGTTTTTCAAAAACTCAATAGCTTTCTGGGGAAAGAAAAAAATCTCGCATTTCTCGCATTTAGAGTAACGCTTAAGAGCCATTTTCTTAAAATTGCCTCCATACTCAATTAAAATTATCACTTGGGATGAGGTTTTACTATTCTTTAATACTCTTAACGTAATAAGTCGGTTCTATTATTAAGAAACCGAAAAATTGAGAGTGTTAAAAAATGTACTTTGGACGGCAAGATGGCAGCTGGCAAGAGTATGCAGCAGGTCTGAATAGACCAAACCCAGAGAAAAGAAAATAGAAAACTAATAGCAGAAAGTTTGTGCCATTCTGCAGCACCACTAGTTACACGTTTTGGTGTCCCCTGTTATTGAAAAGGTGTTATTTTTCAAAACGTCTCTCCGTCCGTCTGTCAATTCGTCTGTCCGTCCTCACTACCCTCGGACAAGAAACTCGACTCGTTCGTGAATCACCTGTTTCGCGTCCTTTTTACGTAAACTATTATTTTTGGCAGGACGGCGGCGGCGCTTGGTGTTTCTGGACCTTCTGATCTTGATGGCGCGCGACGGAAGTCTCTCAGACATGGACATCCGCGAGGAGGTGGACACCTTCCTCTTCGAGGTACGTCCCTCCACCGCACATCAATCGTACATTCTACACACAACGTTAGCTCACGGAAACATATAACTAGGGTTAATCAATTATTATTTCGTGTTTCCTATTCCGTCAACAGCTAGGCTCATTAGTCCAGTAAGTTTTGCGGATATTTTTATCGCGGGAGATGGAGGTGTTTTCCCGTAGTTAGATGGTGAGATAGTTATCAGGCTAGTGTCGAAGCATCTGCCTCAATCGAAACTCGAGCCATAGGGCCTTCCGGACAGATATATTGTAGTGACAACAATTGATGCCCTAGGCCGCTTTAGTTTTAGCCGTTTTAGTAGTGCTAAGATTTTCAGAGGCAGTTTTGTATATAGGAAGGTAAAATACGCTGAAATTATATTAAAATAGTGGTGTTACATCAGAGCACAGACCTTCTGGAATAGTTTCTATTGTTAGAAAAAAATTCAATATTAGTTGAAATTAAAGTAACCCCTCTATACATACTACGCTAAGAAAATGTGACATATAGTTGCCGTTTATGAAATTACCTACAAAAGTAAAAACAAGTGTGTTACGGCTGAATATTCATTGACCTTCAGGGGTGTATCAGTTATATTTAAGGCAAAAAACATAGAAGTTCGCAAATAGTAAAATATATCCATCTGTCCGTCGATCTGCTCGCCGGATATTTTCTCAAAAATAGCTCCAATTTTTTATTCTCATTTTCTTCAAATGGCGTGATAAACGCTGTGAGAAAATGGAACAGGTTACATTTTTTTTTAAATCTCTAAAGTTTGAAAATTGCAATTTTTTAGGCACCTTCCTACAACTAAAATACTGAAAAAAAATTCTCAATTACATCTGTTCTTCCATGGCATCATTAAATAGGTTTGTGTAAATGTTTTCGAAAATATGAGAGGTTTTTGGGTTATTTTATATAAATTGTAGGCAATTTTTAAACATTTATTTTCTCAAAAACAGGTCCAACAATTGACTATTTTTCCTCGGATAGCGTCTATACGCATAAAAAGTGGCGCAAGTTCCATTTTCGGCACTTTCTCTCTATTTTCGATAATTGCAAAGAAATTAACTTTATACGCACAATATAATGATAGAAATGTTTTAAAATGATTTCTCGTTCACTAAATGTACATAAAAATCTCTGGAGTTTTTAAAATTGCAAATGCAATTTTTCAACTTTTTAAAGTATATTTTAACTGTGAGGTTGAAGATGTAGGGAACTCGCTTTTTGATCCTGAAAAAATGTTGGCTGATTGGAAACACTTCTGCAGTTCCATGTAGCATTATATTAATTATTCCATAACCGTTAAAATTTATGCTAGTATGTGCTGTTGTAATACCACTAGTTAAAACAATGATTCAGTAGGTATTCTTTTTTGGAGATTGTAATTCTTTGAGAAACCTCTTCAGGACTATTCAATTTTGTAGGGCTTTTCTTCTTAAAATATTATATATAAGTACGAAGTGCACGGCTTAGTTGAAACAAAAAAGAAAAAAACATTAAAAAGTTATGAGTGGCTATCTTCACTTAGTTCTGTAGATAGTCCTAAAGCATTAACTGCTTCCAAAAGATGAATTTTCTCTCCTCTAGACGCCTCGCTCTCACTTTCAATCTTCATTTGGCTTTCTGATTTCGCTGCTGATGGTCGATTTAAAAATGGATGTTTATTCCCTTCCATTCATTTTTGTTCAATTGCGTCTTTATTAGATTACGGTTTCCACTTCTGATTTTAAAAAGATTTTCTTTTTTTTGTCACAGTGAAGACTTGTACTTCATACTTATATATTTATATATTATACCATTTGAGGTTTTGTTGTAATCATGTAGTTTTTGTTTCTTATGGTTCTAAAAGTTTAACTGTAATTTTTCATCTTAACTGTAACTTCAAATTTTAAACCTCTTTTAGTATTGTTATTCTATATTGCCGTTTTTACGCTGTAAGAAACATTTTAATTGTTAATACTGATTGTATTACAGAGTACCTGATGACGCGACCACATTGTGTTGCGAAACGTTTGACTTAAGTGCATAGATGTCACAAAAATTGTTTTTAAAATAATTGAATTTGATTATCTTTAATGTAAGAGGATAACACTGCATATAAAAATACACAATATATAGGCAATCATTTTTGGTTTCTCTTTTTTCTATAGTGGCAATATTACTTTAAAACTTACTTCAGATAATTGTGAATATCTTTCAGGGACATGACACTACATCATCTGGAATCGCATTCGCCATTTTTCTGCTGTCGAAACATCCTGATGTCCAAGTGAGTAATTAATATTTTCTTTAGAGCAATGCAAGATTCGATCAAGTCACTTAATAATAAGAAAAAAACTATTCAAACTTGAAAACCTTGCTCCGGGATCATTGATAAACTATAGAACCACAAAGAGTATATAAAAAATAAAATCTTCCAATTTTGAAGCAGAAAAACGTTTTCTTTTACAAACAGTCGTATATTTACAAATGATTTTCACATTTGAACACCACACTTTTTTTTAGAATGTTTCATCTTTATTGTTCCCTATTACAAATTAAAGGAAAGTGAATAAATAATGAAAATAATAAAAAAAGATAAAAACATAACTTCATAATACAATACAATACTGTAACATCATGCCGAGGGGCCAGATTAGGACAACACATGCGTGAAGGCCAGCGAGGGCGGGGGTGGTCCTTTGGCGGCAATCGAAGCGCCACCAAGGTGGCCCCTTCTCGAAGGCCCGGGTGGGCGGTGCTCGGAACGTGCGGTGTCAACTGGCACAGAGGAATTGATGGGGAGTCGCCGCGGTTGCAGCTGGACTCAGAAATGGTGCAAAACAGGCCGACGTTTCGATGAAGAAGGACGCCCCGGGCATGGAGTCGTCACGTGGAGCCGCTCCGCGAAGGCGGCTGGGAGAGCCAACATAGCCGTGAGCTATTTCCGTAAGTTTTTTGAACCGAAACCGGTGCGAAGGCAACATTTCCAACGCCGCCAGGGGTTATCCGCGAGCATTTCGCAGCGATGTGTTTGTGGGCGTGTTGCCACGGACAAAACGCGCAGGATGCTGGCTGTCCAAGCCCGCTTGTGGGTCTGCGTCAGGCTTGGTGCTGTTGGGGATGCTCTAATGTGCTGCAGGCTGGGAGTGCAGCGCGTTCCGAGTGAGTTATGTATATAGTGGTAAAAACTTGTAATAAAACTGTATAATAACACAGCTCCGTCCTGTCTGTGTGTACTCCGCCCCGACGACCGCCACCTAATACTTTACCCCTTTCAAGGCAGTAAACATATTTGGCTTGGATGAATCTTTTGTATTGCTCTTTCCTCGTTTTTCAGAACGCAAGGAAAGATGTCAGAAAGAACCGAAAGTGTTTCGTTTGCTAACTCCGTCTGCATTCCAAAATCTCTCAAGTAGATAAATCAACTCATTTTTACTTCACGAGTATGCCTCCACAGGAGCTTAGGAGTTTTCAGACCCCATTGCTGGCAATTGCAAATGTATGAAATTGTTAAATTGTAAACCTGTTATGAAATGTCTATGAATCTTGGGAGTTGCGCATGCGCCAATTGCCACGACAAATCTTGTTCTTTTCTCATATCCAGTCCACGGCTTGTTTCAGGAAAAAATATATGAAGAACTGGAGAGCATCTTTGATACTTCTAAGCCGATAAGTCCGACAATTTCCGAACTATCAGAACTGAAATACCTGGAAATGGTAATTAAGGAATCTCTACGATTATATCCACCAGTGATTATGATACTTCGAAGTATTCAGCAAGAGGTCGTACTTCCTGAAAGTGAGTTTTTTTTAATATATTGTCCATTGCATTATTGAATATTGTAGAAAAGACTTGGTAGAAATGCGAATGCTCCCAGAGTATTTGTGAGATTAAATTTATATATTTCAAGTTAGGGATGTATTAAAATTAATCATAAATATATCAAATTGAACACTTCGAGATTTTGCTCAAATTTAGAGAAATTATATTTTGTGACTCAGCAATTGAGGTACGGAAGAGGATTGGGAAGAGCTTGATGGTCAGCGAAATGTTAATAAGATCTACTAAGTATTTCAATGAGGTTTTGAAGGAGCTAAGATTGCGTACGTATGTTTGAATTACTCTTAAAAAACTAAAAATGTAGAGAATATCGTCTGCATTCAAGCGAAAACACATCGAGTCAAGATAAGGTGTCCCACCAACAATGGGCCACCCCCTTAACTTCTAAGCCGTTCACGATATCGAAGTTCAGTTTTCGCTATACAATGCGGATTGATGGGGCAAGTAATATGCTGTAAAGATATTGTTCGCAATAATTTTCTATTTCGAGAAATTTAAGAGTTCTATAAGATTTTAAAAAGAAATATATAGTCTTATCAATGAATGGATCATAAAAAAGAGGATTACAATGGTCTATGTCAGTGTTTTGATAGTAATTTGAGTATAAACTTAGACTTTCTCACATACTATTTTAAATTAAACGTAAGTCTCCCCGCGACAGGCTCGGCGCCACGAAGGCCACTTTCCCCGAAAGCGACTGTTGTGACGGCTGCTACAGTTCGTTTTTGATCGTTCAATTTAAAATCGGCCGGAAATTCTAATTTTATACCAACTCAAAAATAATTTTATATCTATCCATGTACATAGCGAGTCATTTTAGGAAGGTATAACATAAGTTGTTCCTCGCAGTATTAGCAATAGACCATTCCTTCGCCGCTTTGGCTTCAGAAGCATACAGGAAGCGTTTTTTGGAATTTATCGATTTCCTTGCAGCCTGGATGTCACAGCAATTTTATGCTCATTCCAAGTCACTAAGAACTGATGTAGAATCGGGAGGTTATTTGCATAATTTGTGAACAGTGAGTGCACTGCAATTGTAACACCAATCTGGCTGTCTCACGTTCTGATGGTCTAAAATTGTAATTCCATCAATTCCCAAATTTGAGTTTATCATTGTCACTGACAAAGTAGTATACATTTGTTCTTCGGTAGCAATTTAAAAATGTTCTCTGTCCTTGAATTCATTTTAGAGTAATATTAGACAACACCAAACAAATTAAGAAATTATTAATCGTTAGAGGGTAAAATTGAAAAATGAATGTGATAAATCACTGTTATTAACAATTGGTATATGAAGATCAGTGCAAAATACGAGAGAATTCTGAATCGAGGTTCAAAAGAATTGTTACAAACTTCTTCGTCTGAGTAATTGCTTAATTTGCGCAAAATGACAGTGTGTGGTAACCGTCAAGAAATCTGTTACTCTCGCCACAAGGTGTGCGAAATCGAAGAATTATTTCCAATGTGACTTAACGCAAAGAAACTATTTTTCAGAAATACAGTACTTGGAAGCGTGATACCAAACCGTCTTAAGAATGTATTAATACTGAAAACTAAAACAAACCAACAAAAAACAATGAAAAAGTAGATTCATCACTTGGAAATAATTTCTTCAATTACGTACATGACTGACAAGCAAATGGTGAGATCTCATGCCAACTAGGTGTAAGGCACTAGTACCTAAGTAAAAAAGAATAATCTCATGAATGACAGATCAATGACAGATGTGTGTTATCATCTACAGCCAAAGTCGTGATGCCGGAAGGTGCGAATGTTAATATCGCCGTACGCCATGGCATCACAACCCGAACGTTGTATCCCTGTTACTCGTTTCGAGAGTTTCGTTATCCCGTGCATTCGTCTTTCTGCTAAGAGGAGTGTGCCCGCCGCCCACGCCGTGACGCCTATTCTGCCCTTCAGCCCTCGGAACTGTATTGGTATGTACGCGACCACAACAACCGCAAAGCTGGGCCTCGGAGGCACAGTGGCAGCCTCAGCCCCAGGACGAGGAGTATGAAGGTGTCTCAGAATAAATGTGAGAAACGTCTAAGGTGTTTAGAGTGATCAATCGTCAAATTTTGCTAATGAACATGAGGAGAAAAATTCCAAATAACGAATTCATAAGCGTAACATTTGCCTCAACTGGACATCGTAGCAAAACGAATTACATTTTCTGCCCTACATGCAACTATAATACTTAAGGTATCCAAATCAAATATGTTTGTCTAATTCATCTTAGGTTCATTCTATACATTGCCATAAATCGACAACAACCATTTCCAAAATTAAAAAGGTAATGCTGCTTGAACTCGCTCTTTCAGCGATGCTATTCGAATTGCGCATTTTCATTGGCGGTCCCCACTTCTAGAATCAGTCTTATCTTCACCCATCCTTGCGGCCCGGGTTTGCACTCGTGTTGCTGGCACGCGGTTCTCGAGGGCAGTCAATGTGCAGAATGCTGGGTAGACCAGTTTTAGATAGTGTTACGTAATTCCGGGCATAATTACTGAAAGACTTAGACCCCGTTAGGAGTCTTCAAATAGAGTTGTCTTGTTGGATGTTGTGATTTCTATTTGATTCCCCGTATAAGGACGGGGTTCGGCGTGGCATAAATAAGATCCCCGAGACCGGGAAGCGGCGGAGTGGTATTTAGCAGGTGAATGGTAATAGTGAGTGCACTTCAATGACGAGTTTGTTCACGATGGAACTGTGTCTACGTGTGTTTCTCTGATGAACAGTAACGACTGTGCGACGCTTAAAACATCTACTGGAATGTCTGTGACTTGGCTTGTATTTTGGATTGCGACTTTTGAATATCTGACTGGTTGTAATAAACCTGTTGACAAAAAACTGTTCTTATTCTACCCTTTGCCTTCCTATTCATAACAAAAAACTAAAATGAACTTCGTCAATTAAAAAGTGCAATTAGTACTATCGTTTCGTACAGTTGGAAGAAAAGTTTGTAGTCGTTATTAGAAACTGGCCTTTGAGCGTTTCTGAAAATTAGGAGTTTGAGCTAGTTTTCACAGAAAACTGTTCAGTTTTGGAGAAACTTTATATGACATTATTTAATATACTCATAAATGTAACAATGTGAACAAATCGTCACTAATGTAAATACTAACGTCATGGGTCACAAGACAGAAAAATATTTTTTTGCAATTTTTGAAAAAACAAAGGAATAAAGCAATACGACATTTATGTCATCTTATAGACTGCATGTAGCACTATCCCAACCAAAAGTGTAAAGAAAAAAATTGGAACATTTCGGTCGTTCTGTGCCAACGTTTCAGTCGCCATTCTGCGACCTTCATTAGAGCGTAGTTATTGCCTATAACTACGCCCTGACGAAGGTCGCAGAATGGCGACTGAAACGTTGGCACTTGTGCCCTGGGCTCGGCGCCTCTCGAATAGCCAATAAACACATTCATATGTGTAGTAGAGACCAAAGTAAATAGAAAACTCTTACGGGAAATCATTGCCATTCTGCTTCTTCACTAGATTTTTTCTTCACGGCAAGTACAACCATTGGCACTGAATTAACGAGTAGCTATTGGAATACTCATGAATTTTAGAAAATGTGTTTTTGGATGTTTCAATGCACCTTAGGTGTGGAAACTTGCAAATGATCTTCGGTACTGATCTTCGGTAGATCCGAAAACATCTAACACTGCTTTTCTGGTTTAACATGAGCTGATACATCATACTGAGGAAAATTATACTTCTGTAATGAAGTATACTTTTTTAATGTATTTAATAATCGATACTTTCTCATGTAACTTTCTAAATTCGGGCAAGCCAACAAACTCTATAATGATAATTTTTTTAAAAATTGAACTTGCGCAAAGAAAAGTGAAATGGTCATTCTTCGCTCGCAGGTCAGCGCTTCGCCATGCTGGAGATGAAGAACGTGCTCGCGAAGCTCGTGTGGAACTTCCGAGTGCTGCCGGAGCCCGGGTTCGAGCCCTCGCTGGTGTGGGAGGTCATTCTCAAGTCGCAGAACGGACTGTTCGTGCGCCTGGAGGAGCGACAGCGGGAGTCGAAATGAAGACTCCAGGTTTTGAGAAACTTCACACCCCATGCCGCGCAGTATTTAGACGAGACAACCGACGGCGCGACGCAAACAATTGAGCAATTGCTCCGCGACGCAATGGTGAACAATCCAACCGATTTAGCTGGAACAATACCTAGAGATTCAACTCAACAGTTATGAGCCCAAGAAATTGAAAAGAAACTTGGAAAAGCCATTAAAACAAAAATGTGATATTTAGCAACGTCATTGTAGTGTGAAATAAAAATGTTTTAATTCATCACAGTCATGTTTATTTCAGAACAAATTATCAAAAACACTATTCTTCCTTATTCTAGTATGAAACAGCTCAACTCAAAGTAGGAAGTCATAGATATTTATGGGGGGTTTAGTGATTTATCAATGGCCTTCACTGGTGGAGTTCCTCTGTATCTTTGTGCAATATTAAACAAACCGTTGCTTCAATATCTTCGTTTAAATCCAAAACAAAGTGAAACAAGTGAGCAATTTCCTTATATTCTAAAATAACTATTATTAAATAAAAAATAAATAAATCATATCTTTCAGCCGTTACTTTTAGCATTCACTAGTTAAGACATTAACATTGATAATCTATTTAAACAAATAAGATTCTTTTAACATTACATGTTTTCAAATGTTTTAAAGCTGTCTCAAATAACCCCTGGTCACCTAACTTTCAAATTTGCCTTTTCCATTCTTTCTTCTACGTTCGAGTAAAATTCAACAGAACATTTGGAAACAGTTACATGTAACAAAGGAATTTTCGTATAGGCAATGCAAATCGCGCAAGGAAGTATGAACAAGCGTTTTTCTATTCCCATTGTATAATTATGTCAAATGATGTCTGCAAGTCGTTGCATAATGATTTTCACTACGTTACAGATTTCATTATGATACATTTTCTTGACCAATCACAGATACGTTAACAATCCAGGTAATGACATCTAATCATTGAGAATCGCTCTACTAAATGTTTCGTTCGATTGTGTTAATCAAAATTGCATTTAATATTACATTATGTTTGTCAGTATTAATTTATTTTATTCGTAGTAATTTTTACGTCGAATATTATTTAAAATAAATTGTATCGTAATTTCACTTGTATCCTATTTGGCAAGCCCAGTGGTAATTATTCGAGGGAACATTTGACTAAGATCAGAAAGCAAGTTATTTTGTGTCATGCGTCGCTGTCAAGTGGTTGTCCTTAATAACCAGCTAATTCTTTAGTTTGAAATGTCTACTGGATCAGAGGTGAATTTGGCACCTCCAGAAATACGAGAAAAAGAGAAAATATGATTAAATAAATATTACCTATAATGTTGAATTTATTTATTTTCATTTTTCATAGCAAACAGTTTTTGACGAGTTGTATTTTGGTTAATGGAAATATATACCGTAAGTTAAAACTTAACTTTTGTTCTTCCTTCCAGGGGAATGATAAATCAAAGCCACCTGCGGCAGGGTAAGGTAGGGAACTGTCCGCTAAGTATCATTGGCTGAATCCTGCAAGTCAACTGTCACAAAACGATTCAGTGTAAAAGTTTAACTTATAAGAGTTACCAAAAGTCGTAGACAAAGTACCGTACGAAACTTGATATACACTCCTGTAAAGTGTACGATACTCGCAAGTATCGTAATATCACATTCTTGTGTTAATACCCATCATTATTTTATAATGTACTAATGTTGCACAATATTCATTGTGATCTGATACACACCTGGTTCCATAGTTTACTTTCCGTAATGTCCGTCAAAGAAGTTTTATTGAACAACCATCATTTCATTAAGAGAGACAATGTGACTTGGAACGTAGCTGATAACATTTTAAGTGTGTTTAAACATTTTGAATTCGATTCGGGAACGACTTTGCAAAACGAGATCTCCAGCTACAACATCGGGGATATTTTTATTCATATACTTGGCGTTTACGGGCGACAGTCCCACTGCGCCCACCAGCTATCGGTGTCCCAATTCCTGAGCTCAGTTAATTCCCACGTAGAAGTGCCTTCCTGCACTGTGCACAGACTGGAGAGTCGTCAGATAAGATACTTGACTGCGTGTCATTTGTGCAATTCGGACTTGGGAATCAGAGTGAGAAACGCACCCTCATCCATCTCCAGTGTTTTTTTTTTCTTTTGCTTTCGAGCGCTCGTGACGCTGTATTTTTCAATTGTTAACGACGACTTGCAGCTTTCTTCTAATCTGAAACAAGCGACAGGAACAACAGTCTTTATCTTGGGTTTGTCTTTCCACATTTTTATTTTCTCATTTTTGCTTACGCAGGATGCAGAAAGTATTGTATTGCTGCAGGGGAAAATCGGTGAATCTTCGACAGATAAGCGCTTATTGCCGGGCTCTGGTAAGAAATGGATAATTCTTGTTCCTATTACGTCCTTCAACAGGTCGTGCAGGCAGAATCCATGTTTTGTGTATCATTGATACCGTAAACATGATTGACGGCAAAACGTCTGTCTGTTCGTCTGTGTGAACAACGCTAGTGGCTAAACCGTAAGCAGCACTTTTACACAAATTGCATTTGAAACATATTTTTATTTTGGGGGTTCAAGGAAAAGGCACCAATTTTTTTGATTAAATGTTGTAGTTGGATACTGTGAAGGACGTTAAGAAGAATAAGGGAAATGACACTTGGAGAATGGGGTAGGTTTCATTTTTGTTAAAATATTTGATTTTCAGAAACTGAAAATATTCAAAATTTTGTCTGAGTCTTGCTGCAACTACAAGAATGAAGATAAATTTGTTCTTAGTGAAATGTGATAATCAAAAACGCATTCAAACACATGACCAATTTTTCCAAAATATGAACATTTTGTGCAGAATTTTGCGTTAAACAACGACACTTTTCAAAATTTAAAATACGGGTATTATATCACGGTTCTGATTTTTTGCTTTAATTTTTTTCATGTATGTTGCAAAAAAAAGAAGTGTTGCTGATCCCATTTTCGAAGCATCCTGCATTTTCGAAAATTGGATGAAGTAATTGAAATTTATTATATTTTTACTTGATTTATTTAATCAAAGACTGAAGAAACTGTTTTTGATTTCCTTAATCAAAAACCGTAGAAACTGTATGTGACGTATGGGGGTTAAAACCAACTGCGCACGTTTTCTTGAGTTTCAGAACCTCTTCCCAACATTTGAACTATAAACAGTTTAAAGATGAAAAAAGTTTTAAAGAAATAACAATAAAATTGAAACATTAGCAACATTTGTAGAAACTAGATATTGCCAACGAAAAAGCAATTCACCCCAAGCTCTACTCCTTGCACTACCGCCACTACAAGCAAAAAGGAAGGTCATCAAAACGTGCGCGTAGTGAAGCAACATTTATGTCTAGAAGTACAACAAGGAACCATCTTATAATTTGCTCTATGGATCAGGGAAACTAGACAAATACCTGATCGAGATGGTGGTCATTACACGAAAGTTGAAGTACATTACTTGTAACATGCACATTAAGTCTTTCTAAAAATATTCATATATTATTACAAGCATTAGACTTTAATGAGTGTAGATCGCTAACTATTCAGAAATAGTTAGCTCGCTTCTTTGTAATTAAGGCAAACTTGTTAGAAATACTTATTAATTCTTTTCTATATATGTTGCCATTATATTGATAATTGATTCAATTTATTTATTTTTATTTCATTTAATAAAAAGTTATAAATACTACTTTCGTTAGCATAGGTGCATCGATTTGAAAGGACTGTTTTAAGTTATAAAACTCACTAAATACCTTATATACTCAATATTTCAATATTAACTAAACTATTTCTAATAACTAGAGAAAAATACGCTGCTTTCGTAGCACCTCAGTTTACCAATAGAGTTGATTTAAGACTAATATCCTTTACCATATTTACAGAGAAATAACCGGCCAAATACAGATCAGAAAATAATGAACTGCATATCATGAAAATCACTACAATTCAACAAATTTAGGCAAAAAAGTGTTGTTGAAGGCTTTGAGTGCAAAGATTTTTTGTTAATAAAAAATGCGATTTAGAGTCCATATAATGATTTTATTATATATATATATATATGTATATATATATATATATTATATATATATATTGTGACGTACCTGGAAGCGGTCACTCTCTGACATAAAGAAAAGATAATGACGAAAGGACGGGTACATTTTACGTGAAGGTTTCGGCTTGCGCGTTGAGTGCATACTGGTAATGTTCATAGCAGAATATTCTTCTTTGCACGATTAGAATATTTTAATATTGAAACACTCTATTACAAAGATTATTTCTCATAAAGCGGCATTGCGCCAAGGCCTTGGTAATAAGTGCCTATCAAACGCTGTGCCTTGAATGCTTTTAAAGAGCCAACTGCTGCGGTTGGATACGAGCGGCCGCCGTACGGCAACGGCGGCGGCGTCTTCGCGCAACCTTCGGTCCGCCCCGAAGTCTGTCGGGAATTCGCTCTCCCTCGGTGATCGACTCCGCTGGTCCCCAACGCAACGGCCAACGAACTCGCCGGGGTCCAACACCAGCCAGATAAGCAAATGTCTCACATATACTAAACGCACGACGCGCGATTGCGGCCCGTCGGCAGTTCGGTCTCAGTAATCTTCTCAATCTCGCGCGAACTGTCTGGACAGTACGGCCCGACTGCTGCCTTACCGGCTGTGCTTTTAAACAAGACACACCCTTAAAGTCGGCAGAACTTTGTTTTCGGCCCAGAAGCTGCAAGGTAGTACGATCCAGTTTGTTAGCATCTTGTATACAATAACCACCTTGTAACTGGTCATATGTTTCACATTGTATATTTGTATTGTTTTTAGCTCTTGCAGGATGATCGCAAGACGCGATCGAAATGATCATTAGTTGAATTAAAATATTGATACCTGAAGATATATCTCTTTTTATTATCAAAATAAAAAGGTATCACTTCACAACTAATCCAATTAATCAAGAGTATCAAACGAAAAATAAAATTTCGCTGTTTGCAACGTGTCAACTAAAACTAACATCACAACAAAAAATAGCACCATTGCACAATCGAGTACATTCAAAATTCTGCGAGATATGATCATTTGAAGAACAGCATTTAATAGAAGAAGCCCCTAGGACGTTTTATCAACTTACGTCCTGAGCATCAATTTACTCTATCAAAGGGGCAACTTTAAAGAAAAACATCTAGCGCCCTTCCAGAACATTTTGAAAACGTAGTAGTAGGAGTCATCTAATGCTCTAAAAATTCAAAATATCCGTTTCAAATTCAAGGCACCACGGTAATCAAACATATGGCGGGAATAATACTTATGTGAAAATCCTACTTATGTTACCCGCTTACTGTTGTTTACAGACTGAGTGAGTGAGCGAGTGAGTGAGTGAGTGAGGCTGACAGACAGAAATAAATTGCCGTCAATCACAGTTTTCCGTACCAAGACGGACTGAACCGCTGAATGCTGACAATCACAAGGTTTGAGAATAGTAATTAACTAGAATTAATTTATCCATTTACTTCGTCATCAGTGCTTGGCAAAAAAGGGTGTTTCTTTCGAAAAATCGCAGCATTAAAATTCCTCCATATTGCGAAATAGTAGACGCGAAAGCGTAAGCAATTTAACGACGCCCGCAACAGAACTTACTTCTCGCATTATTTCTAAACTTGCATATCACAATTCTGAGAGATCAACGAAGTGTAATATACACAATTTTATTAAATATGCTTGTTTTATTTGTGAGAAAATGAAAAAACAATTGGGAACCTTTTGAGAAAATTATATTTTTCTAATTTTCATAGATTTAAGAAAAATATCAAGAATTCTATTTTTCGTAAATGTTTATGTGTGCATAAACCATTCTAAAAATCTCATTTTTAGAACAGATGTTAAGACAAAACATCTCTATATTCCGTATTGTACTTTTTTCAATTTTCGAAAATATACAGAGTTTGCCAAAATAGGACTAGCATAATTTTTTATGTCGTCTTCTGATAAACAAGGAGAAAATTTGAAGTCGCTATCCAAAGACAAACTTTAATAC